AGAATGAAGGAAACTTGGGGCATTTGGGGTGAGAGGAACAACTGTTGACATATGCATAGTGTGTCCTGGAGATTTAGAAGGCTTGAATCTTGGCTGGATCTGAGAAGAAACATTGGATACTAGCTGATAATAAAATGGCATACAAAATTGGACTATATTATAAGCTGTCCTAATTATTGAGTAAGTTATATACTCTGGCGATAAAACAAGTAGTCCTTGCCCAAATGTATGTCTCTCCTGCTCCCTACCAAGGCTCAACTTCTGTTTCCTGTATGTTGAGATTTTTCCTTAACAAGCAGGAACTCCATTGGCCCTTTTCTGCACAGGGTCATCTCCCTTATCCTAGGTGAGGCCCATATTGTCTGTTCCTTGGGAGTAAAAATAATTAAATGATTTTTCATTCTTATTAAAGTTAAACAAAGTTTTACAGTCAGTGAGCTTCTTCATGAGAACCTCTATCTCATAATTTTTAAAAAACATTTATCTGTTTGGCTGGATCAGGTCTTAGTTGAGGTACGCAGGACCTTTGACCTCCCTTACGTCGTGTGGATCTTTTATTTGCAGCATGTGAACCCTTGATTGAGGCATGTGGAATTTAGTTTCTCCTCCAGGGATCAAACCTGGCCCCCTGAGAGCACAAAGTCTTAGCCACTGGACCAACAGGAAGGTCCTCATAATTTTTAAATTGGCACATATTGCAACAATAATGTTGATAATTATCAAATGTGCCAGCTTAAGTTTATTGTTAGTTTTATTTTATTACAATATAAAGTCTACATAGACTCTGAGTGTTTAGTGCGGTAGACTCTGATTCAGTTATACTGGGAATCAGTCCTAGTCATTAACATGTTTTAAAAGCTTTCCAGATGATTGTACTGTGAACCCAGGGTTGCTACCCACTGAATTAAATACCTTTGTTTTCTGATATTATCTTGTTAAAGGGCACTGACTCTGAAGTGGAAACAGAGCGATCAGCATCCTCTTAGTCTGGGATTGTTTTCTGCTTCATGTTCTTACTTTGAGCTGACTTCTGTGGTGTTCTGCTCCACTCTACCTCAGTAATGATATGAATAATCACAACCTCACAGTAAAGATTTTTAAAATCCAATGCAAATATTGAATTTTAATATTTTTATGAATGGGTGGTGATTGTGCCTGCTGTTTTCTGCGCTCAATTAGAGTGTGCTTTTAATTTCTGACTCTAGTATTCTGTATAATATTAGTTTTGACTTATGTTAGTTAGCATACTTTGTATTCTGTTCACTTCCAAAATATCTTGTTAAGTTGTTTTAATGTAAAGAAAAGGAAAATTTGTTGCCTCTGATTTTGTCTAATTAGGAGCAAGATGACTCAAGTCTGGCTTTGATTGAGCCTATATGTGTCTGTTACATTCTAGGCGTTTGAAAGAAATAAGAATATGCTATATATATAGTTTTTACCCTGATGTTGAAGAGAATAGACCTATATAGAGCAAGAAGATAAAAATTGCCTCAAGACCTATTTTATAGCATTGGAATGTAGAAGTTATTCATTGATGAGATACTAAATAAGACTAGCAACCTCAAAAGTCTAAAGGGGTCATGCAGTTAAATAGACTTGAAACTCTTAGGGAAAGAGTTAGGGATAGATGTTAAAATGTTAGACTGAAACCAAATTTAATGCCTGCACAGTTACAGCACCTTTCAAAAACCTTGGGAAGGCACATAATACAGCCAATGAAACCTGCCATTACTTTAGAATCTTGGTCTAAGTAGATAAAAGAGAGATCATGGGAGAAAGAAATAAGAGAATAAGAAATGAAATAGGGGTTGTAGATGAGTAATTGCCCCCTAATACCTTCCCAATAAATATTGCTTGAATGAATGAATGAATGAAATAAGAGAACATATTGGAAAGTAGTTTGGGCTGGGGCACAAATTTCTTCTGGGAATTGCCTGTTGCTGTATTGAATCGTGTTGAATTAGCAGTGTGCTTGTTTTAGCCAGGACGTGTTTTCACCACCAATATAGTTATTGCCAGAGGGGAAAAAAGGAGAAAGATCTTATCATGAAAAGAGAGCAGAATTCTTTCTCCAATTTCCTTCATGTTTTTTTATATCTCTTGCATTCTTACAAAATATGACCTAAAATTCTAAAGGAAGCCTGGTCTTTCAAAGCTCATTTGAATTTTGTTTGCGCTACTAAGGAGCCCGTGCTTGTACCAGAAGATTAACCTACTTAGGTTAATTTAGGAAATCTTTCTGTTTTTGGCTTCGGCTTGACTTACTTGTGTTACTTCGCTTCCTTTCCAATCAATCCTATTAGTGAAATGAACTGAACGCTACCTCTTGCCTCTGGTAACTTGCTTGAAAATTTTAGTTTTTACACACTGGATCAATCACTGATTTTAAGTTTTAAAGTGGTTCTGATATTTAATTTTATAAACAAACTTACTGAGATTTAACTTTCATAGCATAAAATTCACCTATTTAAAGTATACAGCTCAGTTAATTTTAGCAAATTTATGTGGTGTGCAGCCACTGTCACAATCCATTTTGGAGCGCTTTCATCACCCTAAAAAATCCCCTGGTGTCCTTTTATCAGTCAGTCTCCTCTCCCACCCCAAGCCCCAGGCAGCCACTGATCTGCTTTCTGTAGCTATCATTTTCAGTAGCCTTTTGTAGAAACTTCATTTGAGAGGATCAGAATATCTAATACTTATTTTAATTTTAGAGACCAAGTTTACCTTATTAAAATAGCCAAGAACAACTTAAGTGACTCCTCTACTTCACTACAATATTGTTTATTGTAGTGAAATAATAATAATATATTCATTAGAATTAATAAATTAATTTTATTTGCAGCCAAATAAATTCATTAGAAGAATTTTCTGAATCAGATGCTAAGTAAGACTTTATCACATGCCTCATTTGTTTTGCTGAATTGCAATTTACTCTCTTTTAGTTAGATATCTTGTTCAGTTTTAAGCTATGCGTTGCCTATTGCCTCCTCAAGATACATGGATCAGCATTCTTCCCAACTTCAGACTGTCTTCTATAGCCTATGCTGTTATGATATTTTTTTTCAGAATGACAAGTATTTGTGTGAGTGCAAAGGAAAAGAAAACAAGAGGTAGTTGATGACCCTTCAAACATTTGCACATAGATGACTGGATGGAAGATGGGTTGACAACGTCCATATGTTTAGATCTTAAGAATGTGTTTTCTATTATCAGTTCTCATGGTATCAGTTCAGTTCAGTTCAGTCATTCAGTTGTGTCCGACTCTTTATGATCCCATGGACTGCAGCACACCAGGCCTCACTGTCCATCACCAACTCCTGGAGTTTACTCAAACTCATGTCCATTGAGTTGGTGATGCCATCCAACCATTCTCTCAGGGTATAGAGAATTAATAAGTTGCATATATTTGAAATAGAATTTCGCTCTTTGTATTTTTTATTTCACAGAAGGAATGTGAGGCACATTCTAGCAAGGAATAAAGCCTTACAATGGACTAAGTCCTATGTCTTACCAGAGTTTCCTTATGATGTCAAGTGCATGCTAGCAGAACAGAAGTGTCCTGATCACAGCATGCGGATAAGGATCATTGAGTTCCTCCAGGCGGACATGACCAAGTATCTGCAAGGCTCACTGTGAGTAATAACAGGGCAGACTTGCTGCCTTGGGAGAGGGTGTGTTTTCAGAAGACTTGAAATCATTTGGAACCCATTCTCTTCAGATTTTGCATGACAGATTGGTAATAAGTCCATCATTGCCCAATATTTGAATGTGTGTGCTATGTTTACTCACGTCTGATGCTTCTGTTACCCCATGAACTGTAGCCCACCAGGCTCCTCTGTGGGATTCTCCAGGCGAGAATACTGGAGTGAGTTGCCATTTCCTCCTCCAGGGGAATCTTCCCAACCCAGGGACCGAACCCAGGTCTCCTGTATCTCCTGCATTACAGACGGGTTCTTTACCACTGAGCCATCAGGAAAGCCCTTATTTGAGGGTCTACATTATCACATAGAAAGATTTGAAGAAAAGTGAATGTAATTTGGACTCACAGGGAGGAACACGGGCTTCTTGAACTGAAAAATGTCCTCCCTGTCACGCTGAACAGGTACCCCACCACCCAGCAGTATAACGACGTGGTCAATGCCCTACTTCAGGCCCACCCTTTCCTGGATGAGGACGGCTGTGGCTTTGTAAGTGACCACACGGCACCGTTCGGTTACTCTCAACCCTCCTTAAAATAAGAGCCTTGTGTTGTCCACTAATTTCAGGCCTCGTTCCCTTTTCCTCCGTCTCTCTCTCCCTGTTTATCTAGGTCTCTCTGCTTCTCTTTCTCTGTCATTTTCTGTCTGGTTTCTAATTCCATTCCCTTGACCATCTCTTCTGTCTCTTGCTCTCAGTCCCCATTTTGTTCTTAGTTTTGGCCTTTCTCTCTCTGCTCTGTTCTTTTTGATGATTTCTATGTGTTCCTATGTTTTCTTTAAAAAAAAACAAACTATTTTTTTAGAGCAGTTTTAAGTTCACAGCAAAATTGAGAGGAAGATACAGAGATTTCCCAAATAGCTCTTGCCCCTACACATCCCTAACATCCCTCATTATCAACATCCCCCACGGAGAGGTAATTCATTACAACTGATGAACCTACACTGACACATCATAATCACCCAAAGTCTATCAGTTACATTAAGGTTCGCTCTTGGCATTGTACATTCTATGTGTGTTTAGACAGATGTATCCATGATTATTGTATCATATATAGTATTTTCACTGTGCTAAAAATCCTCTGTGTTCCACCTGTTCATCCCTCCCCATCTTCCTCCTTGGTCTTCTTTCTCTCTCTATGTCATCCTCTAGAAAGATGATCAGAATCTCTTTCTCAGAGCATCTGGAGGCTCATGTTTAACCATGAGTTTCTAGGAAGGATCTTCACGAGATGCCATACTAGAAAGAGCAGCTGTGGCTGCACCTACATCCATGCTTTCATCACTAGAGTGGTTCTTGCCTTTGTTAGGACCTATGAAGAAGTTGTGTAGTTTTGAGGTCTTGACCCACAGCCTCACCTGATTCACTCATGGCTCTACTGTTCTGACAGAAAAAGATCCTGGCGGTGTTTGGGGCAGCAGTTCTCAACTCTGGCTGCACATCAGGATCCCCGGAGATGCTGATTTATTTGATCTGAAGAAGAAACATTTGCATCTTTAAAAGTACCCCAGATGATTCTAATGTGCAACCAGGGTTGAGAAACACTGTTCTAGAGGTTTCGGTATAAGCTTTGCTCTCTGGATCTGCAAGTCCTTGGCTTTAAAAGCCGGGGATCTCCATTGCTCAACAATGTAAACATACTTAACTCTACTGAAGTGTACACTTAAAAAGTCAAGGCGGTTAAAAAAATTTGAGTGCATTGTGACACTGGAACTGTATGATTTAAGGGACAATTGTGGAGAATTATAGCTTTTATACCTAAAGCTATAATGTCTATTAGTTCTCACATCTCTAGGTGATGTATATGCATATATTGGTAGTTGTATCTAAACAAGATACATGTCCTTTGTACTTTATTTTCGCAGACATCTGTGAGAAAAGTTTTTTGCTATACTTTCTTGAAGACGTGGAATTTAAGCAATTAGTTCCAATCTGAATAGCAAATAATAAATGTCGCTGTCTGTGAGCATGACATTTACGGCCTCTGTTTTCTTTCTCCCCTCCCTTGCTTCACGTTTTTCTTTCTCTTTTTCTTCCTTGGAAAAAGTTCATTATATATGGATAGACTCATAGAATTTTCTGAGTGGGAGAGGGCCTTAAAGATTATTTTTCACCACCCAGACTCAGAAAAGACATATCTAGAACCAGTAACTTTGAAGTCAGACTGGTATTCAGTTACCCTTGCTTCTAGTATAATATCCTTTCTAAAATATTCTGTTGTTTACAAAAGCACACTATAAAGTAAACCAAATTTTCTCAAAAAACAAACAAACAAACAAACTGGGGGGACTTTGGGGCCTGGTAGGTGTTTACGCAAACTCTCCCCACAAGTGTATGTGAGGCTGTGTTTCTCACGTAACAGTGGAAGATGTAGGAAATTTCTTAGCATATTAATGTGAGAGAGAGAGAGAGGGCACACAAGCGAGGAAACATTTGGTTGTTTTTTGGACTAATTTTATTCTTAACTTTTAAAAATTTAAATATAATTGATTTACAATACTGTGTTAGTTTTAGGTGTACAGCAAAATGATTCGATTATATATGTGTATGTATATATATAAATACATAACTTTTTCAGATTATTTTCTATTTTAGATTGTGACAAGATTTTGATAGTTCTAATTTTTTATTTCAAAAACTTTCAAATCTACAGCAGAAGCTGAAAGCCTGCTGCAGTGAACACCCATACACCTTTTAACTAGATCAAGGTTTCTCAGTCGGGCCAGTATTTGTGATGGGAAGATATTTTCAAGCCCAGAGGTGATAGACAACAATTTTATTGTTTATATAGGCTTATTCAAATCTCTTCAAAGATTAACTGCTCTGTTTTATAATTTTACACAGTTTTTGTGGAAACGAGCCCTCAAAGATCGCTTTAAATATGTTCGAAGACCCATAGAAGATGATGAACAAGTGATGAGGAATAAGTGTAAATTTGGACATCGAAGAGGCCAGACGAGGAAATCTCTTGCTGATATAAGATTTGATGAAATTAAAATTGTCCAGATAAAAGTAAGATTGAATCTTTAATTGTTCTGACAAACTTATTGGTTGACTGATTAAGGAATAACAAATACTAGCATTTAAAATAATTAAAGCGAAACAAAATATCCTTTTGAAAATTTAACATGTGGGTCATAAACCAAGAAAAATCTGTTTTGCTTTTGTGAATGAGAATATTTCCAGAAGAAGGTTTCCAAAAACCTGAGCAGAAGGTTTATTGAATATCTCAAGTTTATTCTTTCACAATCTTCAAAAGACCTAGAGAAACTCTTACGTTCTGGGTCTTTGAATAATTTCTTTACCTCTCACCCTAAAATGTGCGCTATGTTCTTGCTGTTCTTATTACTACAGAAAGTTTTTAATACTTATGTTGTAGGGGTCAAGTAGCCTCTGGTTTCAAGATAGTCCACACACATGGGTACAAAACTCCACAGTACTCTACTTGGAACAGAGGCAGCCGTGAGGAAGTTCAGGCCAAGGGCCCCTGGCAGGGTCTGGAGATTCCCCACTCTACAGTGAGTTTGCTGCACCGTAGTGTTGATGTGGGTCCTAATTATCTGAAGTTCTATAGATATCATCTACTTCATGGCCCCCAGATGCTCTCAGAAACAAAAATGTCCCCTACTAGTAAAATAGACTGAACTCCTTAGGAAGGATGTCCTAACTATCAAGTTCAAGAAGCTAAATCTCATGTCCCCCAAAATACTATTTTTCCCTCAATCCAGTATGAATGAATGGGCTTCCCTGGTGGCTCAGTGATAAAGAATCCATCTCCAGTGCAGGAGCTACACGAGCCACAGATTTGATCCCTGGGTCGGGCAGATCTCTTGGAGGAGAGCATGGCAACCCACTCCAGTATTCTTGCCTGGAGAATCCCATGGACAGAGGAGCCTGGCAGGCTACCGTCTATGGGGTCACAAAGAGTCGGACATGACTGAAGCGACCTAGCTCTCACGCAGCACAACATGGATATGTAAACCTAACTTTTCACTATAAGCACATTTATGCTAGTGAATGTGCCGGTGTAAATATTCTGTTTTCTTTTTCAGCTGGTATGATTATTTAATATTAATAAAGCAGCCTAGCAGATTATCTCAATTTTATTGTCACTACTTATAAGTGCCAGGGAATGGGAGTATTTTTTAAACATATTTTGTAAACTATTCATCCTAGCATGATACATAAGAAAAATTTTAGATCTAGATGTATTTTTAAATATCTTATTATGTAACTTTTCAAAGTGTTTTCAAAATGACAGTCCAGTTAAGGTAATACAATTTTATATCTGCTTTTTGATGAAAAGACAAGACAGATGAAAGGTACCTAAATTAAGAGGTGTGGTTTTATAGAAACTTTAACTGCAATATTCCAATTTGAAACTAAAATCAAAGATAAAATTAGACTTGTTTAAAAATATATTTTATATTCTTAAAATAAAGAGCCACTTTGTAAAGGAACATAATTACATTGTGCATGAGTATTCTCAAAATATGTGATTTTCCTCATACTACAAATGGAGTTCCTTTATAAATGAATTAATATTTTACAAATTCAGTTTTCTTTCTTTCGCTTTGATGCGTCTTCCACCAAAATTCACTGGAGTGGGATGAAAGGTAAAATTGGAAAAGCAGCCCTTGTCCCCAGCAAGGGTAAGCCCCTGGGGTCAGAGGCCACCCTGACGGACACAGGTTACACGCAGCTCCTCTCTTGTGCTGAGCCATCATCACTGACCCCGTTTGTGCGGTCGTCTTTCTCTTCTTTCTCAGAACCACCTCAGTTCATCTTGTAACTGCGCCCTTTGCGGTTCCTATCTTGGAGTCTCCTAGACATGCCTGCATCTTAAATTGAATCCTACTAAGGCCCATGCAGGGGTCTTTGCTACAAAGAGAAGAGGGATTGAATGTATCAGGGCCCAAGATGATTTAAGTTGCAGGAGAATTTAGTTTTGACCTTCCTGCCAGCTGGGGCAAAAAGAGGTCATTGTTAGCACCTGAAGAGGCAACATTTTTCCTGCCAAGCAAATCTACTTGGTAAGGATTTACTTTTCTCCCTCTTACAAATGGAGCTACACATTGCTAGTTCTTTAAACACTGTAATGTCTCTGTTTATGACCTAATGTTCTGTAAAGCCAGATGCTTCAAAGGATGGAAAAAATTTTACACTAGAATATTACAGAAACAATGTATTTCTGTATTTTGTACCCTCCATAGTGACTAAGCAAATGGAGAAACACTAATAAGACAAGTTCATTGAATACACCACTTATCTCATGGGGTTTTAGACTTCAGATGAGTTGCCTAAATTATTTCCAGTGTGCATTTTGAATTTCTTATAGCTCTTTTTAAATGTCTTTATGATTTCTGAAAATTAAAGATAGTTGGATTAAGATATACTTTGGCAACTTTCTCATCTTTTAAAATTTCTTGACTGGGCACAGCATTTCCATAATATAGAAAAAAAGTTATTCCTTGTGCTGGAGAGATGGAAAACGCTGATGTAGGCAACAAGCCAGGAGGCAGGCCATCCCCTCAAAGGCAGGGAAGTGGGTTTCGCTAAACTGGAGAAAAGTATTGGGAATAAGTAAGGAAGGAGAAGAGTTCTTCACTTGTTTTGTTTCTGTTGTTTATCTGTGGTGGTTAGAGGGAACTTACCAAAATATTGATGGTAGATGCCTCAGTGAAGGACAGTGCATTTCTTACTCTTGTCACATGGGCTTCTGAAGATGACCAAGCAGCTGCAGAATGTAAGTGAGTCTGAGGTCACAGATCTTTTGTCCACAATCCTCCTCCTCCCTTAATCTCTGAGGTCAGCATGGCACTGCTTAAACTATGTTCTGTGTGTGTGTGTGTGTGTGTGTGTGTGTGTGTGTGCATGCATACATATGCACGTGCATACCTACTGTTGTGTCCAACTCTTTGCAACTCCACAAACTGTAGCCTGCCAGGCTCCTCTGTCCATGGGATTCTCCAGACAAGAATACTGGAGTGGGTTTCCAGTTCCTCCTCCAGGGAATCTCCCAATCCACAGATCCAACACATCTCTTGCATCTCCTGCATTGGCAGGCAGAATCTTTACCAGATGAGCCAGTGAGGAAGGCCCTATAAAACCCAAAGCTTCAGCAGCATCAAGCATCTACCCGTGAGTCTTAAAAATGGATGGATTCCTTATATTGTGCTAATGAAAGGAATTATAACCATGGTATGCAGAGCTATACTGTCAGAATCCCAGGTTATGTTTCTAAATCAATCCTCCAAAAATACTGGATTTAAATGTCATGTTTAAAAATCCTTTGCCAACCTCATGACCCCATGTCACTGTTGGTTGTACATCCAGTCAAATACAGTATAAGCAACATTGCTTCTTAGGCATCTGAGTTTTAGCTTTAGGTCCAAGCAACTTGTAGCCCTGTGAATTGATAAATCTGTTTCATTTCTTAATAGTCTTTTACTATACTTCTTAGAGTACTTAGAGACACAAATAGATTCTCAAAACAGTAGAATTAATTGAGCAATATCTTTTTTTTCATTGAAGGATAGTTGATTTAGGGCTTCCTTGATAGCTCAGTTGGTAGAGAATCCACCCGCAATGCAGGAGACCCCGGTTCAATTCCTGGGTCGGGAAGATCTGCTGAAGAAGGGATAGGCTACCCACTCCAGTATTCTTGGGCTTCCCTTGTGGCTCAGCTGATAAAGAATCTGCCTGCAATGCAGGAGACCTGGGTTTGACCCCTGGGTTGGTAAGATCCCCTGGAGAAGGGAAAGACTACTCACTCCAGTATTCTGGCCTGGAGAATTCCAAGGACTGTACAGTCCTTGGGGTCACAAAGAGTTGGACACAACTAAGCGACTTTCACTTTCATAGTTGATTTACAATGTTTCAGGTTTTAGCAGTGATTCAGTTATACATATACATACAAACATATATATATATATGTATGTATATANTTTGGGCCTCAACAGTGAAAGAGTCCTAACCACTGGACCACCAAGGAATTCTCATGTGCTCGTAATTCTATGCCCTTTTCCCCACCTCTGCTCTTGGGCAGCCCTTCGAATGCATTTCATCTGTATCTTTTTGCTCGTGGGGTGTTCTAAAATGTGCACTGTAATTGTGGGTTTATATATATTTGACTCAATGTAAATGCTATTCTGGGCTTCCCAAGACCCAGTGGTAAAGAACCTGCCTGCCAATGCAGGAGATCCCTGGATGGGGAAGACCCCCTGGAGGAGGAAATGGCAATCCACTCCAGTATTCTTGCCTGAAAAATTCCATGGACAGAGGAGCCTGGTGGGCTATAATCCACGGGGTCGCAGAGAATCAGGCATGACTGAGCACACACACAAATGCTATTCTATACCTCATTTGTATTTCACTTTTACACTGATGCTGTTTAAGTCTCATTTATGTTGCCATGTGTATTTCTACCCCATGTTTGTAGCAATTTTTACAAGTCCTTGCTTCAAGCCCCTTCCTTCCCACAGTGAATGGTACTACAGAGAACACCATTAGACCTGGTTGCTTATGGATGCAGCTGTGTGTTATTTCTTTGGCTTGTCCACCCAGAAGTGGAACTGATGTTACGGGAATGCGTGTACTTAATTTGACTAATTGCTTTCTAAAATGATTTTGTTAGTCTCAGTCCCATAGTACTGCATATCTTTATCTTTCTGCCAGTGCTTGGCGTTAGCCAGCCTTGTGAGTTTTGCCAAGACTAATAGGTATAAACTGTAATCTCAGTCTTGTGATTTGCATTTCCCTGGATAACTAATGAGTCTTAGCATCTTTCCATGTGTTTGTTAGAGTTTTGAATTCCTTCTTTTAGAAAATTACCTCTTTAGTTCCATTGCCCCATTTTTAATGGGTTGGCATCTTTTTCTTCTTAATTGGTAGGAAGCAGTCCTTCCCATACTCTAAGTCACAAAGATATTCTCCTACTCCTTCTTTTATTAAGTTTATAGTTTGCAATTAAGTCATCTGGAGTCCATTTTTGTATATGCCATTAGATAAGGATCTCCATAGAATTATTGCTCTTATAACCAATTATGTTTTTCACTGGCTTATGGTGGCAATTTAATTGAATGTTAACTTCCCCCCAAAAGACTTGAGTGTGTTCTGGGCACTCACTCTTATTCCATTGGTCTATCAGTCTATTTTTAATGCCATTGCCATAATTCATTTGATTACTTATTATTTATTACTTAGCATCTAGACGTTTCTGCAGGTCACCCTCTTTTTCTGGAATATGGAGGACAGTGGGTCCTTTTCTCAAGAACTTGTCCCTGGGACTCCTTTGTAGCACTTCTTACAGAGAACTAGAGCCTGGACCAGGGGTACTGAGGTGGGAGGGCAGGTGGATGTAGGACCAGAGGCAGGTTCTGAGCATCTGCCAGAGCAAGGAGCGCCAGGATGAGTTCTGTCTTGCGCTCATGAAGAGCCTGCTGTGACGGGATGAAGGTGGTGTATGGAGGGACCCTTCGTTTCACACTGACAGAGCCTGATGCGCATCCTTTCCTGGGGGTCTCTGCATCCAGAGGGTTCGTTGCTGGTCCTCTCGGGTTTCTGCCAAATACCTCATTTGAAACATCAGGATCTAATATACTTTTGAAATGCTTTTTTGGCTAAAGTACACCTTTTCTTTTCTTAAATTACTGAGATTTCTTTCAGCCAGTAAAGCCTTCAACTTACTACCATAAACTTGTTACTCATGGGATATAAGCTGACTTTGATAATAGTCATTGCTTCCTTCAAGTTTTTCTGAAAGAATTTGGCTTGAATCTTTCATGTGTCAGTTCATAACTGCACCTGATATTTTCATCCACTTTGCAAAGATTCTCTTCTGTCTTTATGGAGTAAATGAACTCTGAATTGGATATTTGGTGAAAATTTATTTTGGTTTCTTGAAGCAGTACAGGAAGGACTTTGAATTTCCCACAAAGGCTTTTGCTTTTCTATTTTTTTCCCTAGTTGCAATGACCTTCTCTCAGTTTGGAGGCTATTAATGTGATCTTTAAATGCACAGATTATTTTATCTTTATCAGATAATTTAATCTATACTTTTTTTTTAAAGAATTTTAAGTAACTTAATCCTATCTGTTTCTTCAAAAGTCCTTTTGATGACATTTTCTTGGAGGTTTTCATTTTATGCATGATTTCTGTGCATGCTAAGACACTTCAGTCATGTTCAACTCTGTATGACCCTACAGACTGTAGTCTGCCAGGCTCCTCTGTCCATTGGATTTTCCAGGAGAGAGTACTGGAGTGGGTGGCCATTCCCTCCTCCAGGGGATCTTCTGACCCAAGGACTGAACCTGCATCTCTTATGTCTCCTGCATTGTCAGGCAGATTCTTTACCACTATTGCCACCCAAGAAGCCCTTATTCAGCTCCAAATTCTTACAATCCCTGTTGTCGTCTCCAAGAATCGCAGTCACTCTAGTCTTTCAACTGCTTGTTTATCACATGTTTAGTGGTTCTATTCATTATTGAAAGTGACATTAAAATCTCCAACTACTATTATTGTCTCTTGCTTCCTTCTGTCAGTTTTTGCCACGTGACATTTGGGCTGTTGTCAAGTGTGTATAAGTTGAGAATTGTTATATCTTCTTAACGGATTGGCCCTCTTCCCATTATAAAATATCCTCCTTTGTCTCTAGGAACAATTTTTGTGTTGTTTATTTTGTCTCATATTAGTATAACTATTCTCTCTCTCTTTTGGTTACTGCTAGCATAATATATATTTTCCCATCTTTTTATGACTTATGAATACTTATGACTTTGAATCTAAAGTATGTCTCTAATAGACAGTATATAGTTGGATACTATTTTTTTACATCCATTCTGTTAATTACCTAATATGATTACTGATAAGGTAGGAATTATGTCTACTATTTGTTTTCTATTAATATACGTCATCTCTTCTTACTTTATCCCTCTCCCTCAATTACTGCCTTCTGTTGTGTTAAAGCAGATATCTTCTAGTATATTAATGTAATTCCCCTTTTTGTTTCTCTTAGTAAATAAACATTTTTAGTTATTTTCTTAGTGGTTGCCCTGGAGATTACAACTAATACCTTGATTTATAATAATCTAGTTTGGATTCATACCTCATTAATTGTAATAACATATAAAAGCTTTGCCCCTGTATAACAATACCCTTCTTCCCTTTTGTGCTGTTAGTTAAATTTTATACATTGTATATCCCTCAACACAGAATTTATAACTATTGCTTCATGCAATTGTTTTTAAAACAAGATGGGAGAGTTACAACCAGAAAATGGATTTAAACTGTCTTTTTTGTTTACTTATGTCGTGACCGTTACCAGTGCCCTATTTTTTCATGTTGATTTGAGTTATAGTCCATGTTCTTTCATTTTAGCTTGAAAGACCATTTTAGCTTGAATTTCTGGTAGGACAGATCTGTTAGTGACCAGTTCTCTCACTTTTTATTTATATGAGAATGTCTTAAATTTCTCCTTCATACCTGAAGGATGTTTTGCTGGATATAGAATTTATTTAGGGGATTTTTTTTTCTGGTTTGAGATTTGGGTGTTCTAGCTTTCAGTTATCATGGTTTTGGCCATAGATAACAGACAACACTGCCTGAAATTGGCTAAAATGATAAGTAGAGCTATGGTGTCACATAATAAGAAACCCAGAGGAAGATGACTGTGGATATGATTTCTGCTCACCAAGTTACTCAGCTCGGCTCCTCCAGACAACCAGCCGGACTTTACTT